TGGCTCCTATTCCCTCTAAAACCCAAAAAGGGGGTGGGACCAGGGAACCTAACTATAATTGACAGGTGGCTTGTCCTATGATTGCAGCCAAAAGAAGCCACCTATCTGCAGATTCCCTGAAACTTAGGACTACAACAAACATTCAATGCAAAGCAAACAAAATTTTGGTATGGTTGTACCTGCACATTCCCTTAATCACTTCAGCCTTCTCAAGACTTTGCAAACAAGAGAATAGGGTTCCTTACAATATATAGAGCCACCTTTCAACCTGTTTACAATATATTGTTGATATGTCTATGAACTCAGTAGAATTAGTGCAGCTTGACATCAATGTAACTGCCCTGACTCAATGCTATAGAATCCTAGGAGTTGTGCTTTTGCAAGGTCTTTAGTCTTCTTTGTCAAAAAGTGCTAGTGCCTCACCAAAGTACAACTCTCAAAATTCCATAACATTGAGCCACAATAGTTAAAAGTGGTGTCAAAGTGCACTAATTCTACAGTGTAAATGCACCCACATGCCCTGGTATAGTGAAATACTAATCAGTGAATTAGTGAATAATTTATGTAGTGGTGAGCAACTGCACTAGAGCAAATTTAGGCCCACATATTTCCTTCATTGTCCATTCGTACATGGTCTGGACCATCAGAAGAGAGATTTGTAGAAATGCATGTGCACGGAACTGTACACATATGCTTTTTACTGGGGTGACAGATTTGTAGATAAATAGATCATATGCTATCCAACATTTCACAGATGAAAACCAGGACACGTATGGCCATGCAACAGAGTGGTCTCAAGATGGCAAAAAATAGTTAATGAAGAAGAACACAGAAGCTAGAATAAATTGTAGTAGTTTCTTTTTTTGCCTTAACCTGCTGGGAAGGAGAAACTTTATCCTTCCCTCCTCCTCTTCATTCTCTCAGGCCTCTGCTACTGCCATATAAACCAGATTATAAAAGTAGATAATCCACATTATCTGCTTTGAACAGGATTGTATGAGTCTACACTGCCACATAATCCAGGTAATTGTTGTGTCTGAAATATCTTCAAGTACAAGCTATGCATATATGCAGCCCTTCTGTTGTAGCATCTTCACTGACTACCGATATCTTTCCAGGTACAATTTAAAATTGTGGTTATGACCTATAAAACTCTATAATGCTCATATCCAGATTATCTGAAAAACTCTGTTCTCTTATTCTGCCAGAATTTCAAAATCTTCAATGGAAGTCCATCACTCCATTCTATATAATGGAAATAGATAGGAGTCTTCTTGGTAGTTACTTTCAGACACTGAAACTCCCTTTATAGAAAGACTAGAGTGAACTCTGCCATAGTATCCTTCCAGCAGAAAATGAAGATTTTTCTTTAATGTTGACAGGCATTTGAGTCTACACTGGTTATTGGGAATGAACTATTTTATGGGACAAAGTTTTAAACATGTGCTGTATTGTCTGTATTTGCTGTTTAGATTTGCTTTCTACTCTGTGCATGTATGTGTCATTACAAATCACCCGTTGACTTGTGATAACCCCATAAATTCCACAGAGTCTTCTTGGGCACAGGATGCTAATGATGGTTTAATTAGATGTTAACTTTGTTAATGTTTGTAGTATTATGAATTATATGTATCTGTTTTTTTAAAAAAAAAACAGAAAATAATATGTTCTCATACAAATGTTATTAAATTGAATGCAAATCATGTCTTGTAATTTGTGCCCAAATTCTCTGGAACCAAAAAACAGAGTTAAACATCAGGGTTAAACGTCAGGAGAGAATGCTTCTGGAACATGGCCATACAACCCGGAAAACTCACAGCAACCCAGAGGTAAATTTAACAGGATTTTCTATTATGCAAGTCCTGTTGAAATGAACTGGAGAAGATCACTCCCCCCTACGGCGCCTATTTTTCCTCTTCAGACATAACTCTTCTAATTTGCTGCTGAATCTAATTCAAACAAACAGATTGATATCCATGAAAATTGTCCCTCCCCCTGTATCAGTCAGGGTGACACAGAAAAAGCTGATCTACTGCTGACATCCTGAGTTAATTGGATTTTAAAAGAAAAAGATAAAAGCTATATATAAAGATGTCACCTGCCACCCACTGGCAGTCTAAACCTCCATAGATCTTTTGAAGCCTTCCTTAAAGTCTTCAGTTTTCTAAGGGACCATTTCTTTTGATTGTGTGTCCTACTTGACTTGAATGACTTACTGAGTGTCACAATCCATTTCAAGCTAATGTTGGTTTAAAAAAGCAACTGGAAGCAACATGGAAAAGTCAGCCAAGTTCCTCTGCAAACTGATGTCGATGGGAAAATAAGACAGCTCTATAAGTCTAACATGAAACACAAACAGTATTAGCTCACTTGTTCTCATGATCTATAAAACCCAGTGGACTTGGCTATTTTCAGCTTCTGCATTTTATCAATTGCATTTCTTCCAATGTGTGCATTCTTTGCTAATCATTTTTATGTGTTTTATTTATTTACTTTATTTTTATACACCTTTCTCCCTGTGAGGACACAAGGCAACTAACAACCACACAATTTGGTCAAAAGTTTAAGCAAAGCAAATACAAAAAAAGTTATATAGTATGGCATGGATATTGGTTAAAATACACTTTAAATATAATAAATACAATTAAAATTGTATTTAAAACTCACCCCCCCCCCCCCCCCCGAGCCCCATGCACAGCCTCCCCAGCAGTGTTGCAAAAGGCAAGCAGGGATGGGGCCATCCTGGTCTCTCTTGGGAGGGAGTTCAACAGACTAGGAGCAGCCACCAAAAAGGCCTTCTCCCATGATCCCACCAAATGCGCTTCAACAGGTAGTGGGACAGAGAGAAGGCCCTCTCCAATTAATCATACAAATCGTTGAATAGATTATGTTCCCTGACTTCAAAACATTCCTTTTCCTACATTTTGGAATGTAAGCCTGCATACATTTTATTTCCTACATGCAGGAATGAATAATTTTATTGAATTTCTTCCTTCTCTGGAAGAATACAAAGGTGTTTATATTGCACAAATTTCACATATAATACTGGTTTCTGAACAAAAATCAGGTCTCTTAGGCAAATAGAAGTATTTGGTGCAGGCACTGGTGTTTCTTGTGCAAAATGAAAACCTTTGCATAGGAAAAGTATTTTCTGTGCCAAAACATTTTTGTTTGTTTGTTTGTTTTTTAAAAAAAGGATTTTAGCAAAACATCAAGTATCTACTTGAAGTCCCAAAGTGTGAAGAATCTCACAGCTGTTTTCTGTTTCCTTGGTAAGGTGTCCTGACTGTTAAGAAACCCTTTTCACATCCAGAATGCAAACATTAGCAAATACCTTCCACACCACTACTCATTTCATTCAGCCCAATAACTGAGGCCTACTATCCAGCTCTTCCTTTTGAGGGATTTGTTCAGAGTGGCATGGCATAGATGTTTGAATCAGTTTCATGATGTTTTGGAAGCTCAAGCCTTCCTTGTGTAATGTTTGTTTTTCTATCATTATTGTGAAGAAGTGGCTCACCCTTTACAAATGCAAACAAAAGTAACACTATGTGTGTGTGTGGGGGGGGGGGGAGATATTGACCCTTTTACCAGATTCAAAGGTTTTAAGTTCTGTTACACTTAATTGATTTCACAAGAGTGAGCAAATGGTTTTAATGATATAAGACACGTGTAAACATTACTGCACACAACTGTAATATCGCTCATTTAGTGCAAACTTATTTCAATCAGTTACTACTATCTAAGGATATAGCTATGGGGGAGGGAGAAAAATGGGTGCATTGCCTGCCAAAATGAAATTCTGCTCTCTGCAATACATTTTTATTTCACTCCACACATTAGTAGCATTGAAATATAGTTTTCTCTGTACATTCACTGGAATTAGATGCACAAGATTCCTGCAAATGAATTAAAAAACTGCTTTTTTTGCACAAGAGAATACCTCTCTAGGAAGGTCCAGATCTTCCTGTGTGATTCTTATGTTCTTGCAAAAGAATTACAAGGACATCATATGCCATACCTTTGAGGCATACTCAGAGACTGAAGTCAGAATTTGGAAGAAAAAAAATAGGAGTATTTGCCAGAAGAAATAAAAGAAAGGCTCTAAAATTTTTCATAATTTTTGCCTTCCCTATAGCAAAAGATTTGGTTTGGATATTTAGTTTAGTTTAGACAGCTCTTCATTGCCATGTGTACATCTCAGCCTCACCATGTGCACTTCTAGGTCTAAATACAGTTGATATAACTAACTAGACAATTAAGTACTGGATGGTAAACTACTTTTGTAAATCCTATGGATTTAGTGGGTCTACTGTTGTAAGGTCTAACAATTGTATTTAAGCTCTATACATCTGTTCATGTAATGTTACAATCTGGATTTCATTATACAAATAATGAGGACATACGAAGTGTTAATATCTGGTGTGACTATGTGCAAAATTAAGTGCATGTGGCTATAATTCTGGTCACACTCTTATAACCTATTAAAATTACCACATTTCTATTTTGTATTGGAGTTGTCTTTGTTGTTTTTTTTAAAAAAAGATCTGTATTAATTGTTAAATTCATTAACTCTTTTAGAAAAGGAAATGGAAACCACAATAAATGGATACTGTTGTGTTCTAGCTGTGGTACTTGTTGATATTTTAGAACTGATAATATGAGTTTGAGAAACTTTTATTGTACAGATCAGAATCTGAAGCAGAATCTGAAAAATAAATTCAAAAATGTATGCATTCATGATACTTTTACCCTCCCCAAAACCAACCCTAGACATTTCTTTATGATCAATATGTTTGTAAAGTTACTTATGTGTAACTTTTAAACTATTTTAAATTGTTTTTAAAATGTGAAATTAAAAATGAAAATAGAAAAAGATACAGAGAAAAGTAGGGACAAATACCTCTTGCAATAACAAAAGTGTATTGAGCACAGCAGTTCATTGAATGATGTTGTTTTGGAGTTTGAACAGTAAATGCACTGAGAATGTGGAAACTTACCATCAACATCCAATGAGACTATGTCTTGGGTATCTTCAATTCCATACATGACGTCACATCGGTAAATTCCAGTATCGCTTGCCCGTAAATTCTCCATAGTCAATGAGGCATCTCCAACATCTTCCGGCAGACTTGGAACTGACACTCTCCCTTTGTAGCCTTGTCCTATCTTGATATTCCCATTTTGGGCCACCAAAACTGTGGTTTCTCTCAGGTCTTTTTCACCTATATCATGTTCAAGTTTTGACCACTTAATTCGGAGGAATTCACTAGTATTGTGATAGCTGGGCGGCAAAGTAGGTGGAGTAGAAAAGAAACACGGGAGAGTGACCCCTCCAGCCAGTGAGCCCTTCACCGGTGGACTTTTTTCCATTTTGCCTGCAGGACAAAAACACTGTATTAGTGAGGCATTAAAACTAATCTATATGAGATTCACAGAAGCAACAATACCCTTTCTAGTAGTGCAACTCAGCCTGATAAAAGTGCAAGAAAGCATTTTGGGATATCCTTGTTAGAACCCAGATTCCTTCATTAATCTTAAAGAATAACTATAAGGTCATGACAGTTCCAGTGGTATACATCATATATCCACTTTCATTTCAAAGTTCTGCTAAGAACTGGTCACTTTGGTATGCATATAACAATGGATTCAAATGTGTTCAGATCAGAACACATGGGTATCTTAATACAGCATATCATAGAAGGTAACGTAATTCTCTCTGTCTCATACTTCAGCCCCTAAAACTTCTTTTACAAACACACATGTTCTTTTTCCCTATAATTTCCTTCAGTTCTATAAAACAAATTATGTCAACAGTTTACTGTTCAAAATGCTTGTTTTGTTCTAATATTTCTGATTGGTACCATCAAATCTCCCAACTTGTAAACACCACAAAAACATAGAGGAGAAATAAGTCTATATAAACATATCCAAGCATGCACCATAGCTGGGATAGACATTCCTGACCCTCTAGATGTTTTCTACTTCAGCTCCCAAAAGTACCAGTCATCAAGAGCAATCATAATGTATTATGGGTTGCTATAGTCCAAAACATTTGGCAAGCCAAAGACTTCCCAACCTTTGATTAGTGGCTATTAGTATCCATGTCAGCAAAGCATGGGATCTACTCTTGTTTAATGTATTGTCGAAGGCTTTCATGGCCGGAATCACTGGGTTGTTGTAGGTTTTTCCGGGCTATATGGCCATGTTCTAAAGGCAATTTTTCTCCTGACATTTCACCTGCATCTATGGCAAACATCCTGAGAGGTATTGAGGTCTGTTGGAAGTAGGAAAAATGGGTTTATATATCTGTGGAATGACCAGGGTGAGACAAAGGACTTTTGTCTGCTGGGGCTAGCTGTGAATGTTTCAGCTGATCACCTTGATTTGCATTCAATGGCTTGGAAGTGCCTGGGGGAATCTTTTGTTGAGAGTGATTTTATGTGCCTGTTTGTTTCCCCTCTGTTGTTTTGCTGTTGTAATTTTTGAGTTTTTTTAATACTGGTAGCCAGATTTTGTTCATTTTCATGGTTTCTTCCTTTCTGTTGAAATTGTCCACATGCTTGTGGATTTCAATGGCTTCTCTGTGTAGTCTGACATGGTGGTTGTGAGAGTGGTCCAGCATTTCTGTGTTCTCAAATAATATGCTGTGTCCAGGTTGGTTCATCAGGTGCTCTGCTATGGCTGACTTCCCTGGTTGAAGTAGTCTGCAGTGCCTTTCATGTTCCTTGATTCGTGGTTGGGCAACGCTGCGTTTGGTGGTCCCTATGTAGACTTGTCCACAGCTGCATGGTATACGTTAGACTCCTGCCGAGGTGAGAGGATCCCTCTTATCCTTTGCTGAACGTAGCATTTGTTGGATTTTCTTGGTGGGTTTGTAGATTGTTTGTATGTTGTGTTTCCTCATCAGCTTCCCTATGCGGTCAGTGGTTCCCTTGATGTATGGCAGGAACAAACCACGAGAGTAAAGATGAAGATCCACCCAGTTTCCCTATGCGGTCAGTGGTTCCCTTGATGTAAGGCAAGAACACTTTTCCTCTGGGTGGATCTTCATCTTTACTCTCGTGGCTTGTTCTCAGTCTTGCAGCTCTTGCAGGGAAACTGATGAGGAAACACAACATACAAACCACTTACAGACCCACCAAGAAAATCCAACAAATGCTACGTTCAGCAAAGGACAAGAGGGATCCTCTCACCTCTGCAGGAGTCTACCATGTACCATGCAGCTGTGGACAAGTCTACATAGGGACCACCAAACGCAGCGCCCAGACACGCATCAAGGAACATGAAAGGCACTGCAGACTACTTCAACCAGAGAAATCAGCCATAGCAGAGCACCTGATGAACCAACCTGGACACAGCATTTTATTTGAGAACACACAGAAATGCTGGACCACTCTCACAACCACCATGTCAGACTACACAGAGAAGCCATTGAAATCCACAAGCATGTGGACAATTTCAACAGAAAGGAAGAAACCATGAAAATGAACAAAATCTGGCTACCAGTATTAAAAACTCAAAAATTACAACAGCAAAACAACAGAGGGGAAACAAACAGGCACATAAAATCACTCTCAACAAAAGATTCCCCCCAGGCACTTCCAAGCCATTGAATGCTAATCAAGGTGATCAGCTGAAACATTCACAGCTAGCCCCAGCAGACAAAAGTCCTTTGTCTCACCCTGGTCATTCCACAGATATATAAACCCATTTTTCCTACTTCCAACAGACCTCACTACCTCTGAGGATGCTTGCCATAGATGCAGGCGAAACGTCAGGAGAAAAATTGCCTCCAGAACATGGCCATATAGCCCGGAAAAACCTACAACAACCCTACTCTTGTTTACTTTGAACCTTATAGGAGAAATCCAAAGTAAATTCCCAAACAAGTTCAGATGAAATCTTTGAACAGATACACCATGCAACTGATATGAAAGCCAGTAGGTGCTACAGCATTGTTCTACAAGTCAACTTCCTTTTCCCATTCTTGAGCCCTGTGCAGAAAAATATGGTTCAAGCAAGTGACACAGATGCCAGTTATGGCTCTGATCTTCTAAGCAATAGGATCTGTGGATAATACTGTTGAGTATGGCTTGTCTTCAGAAGAATAAATAATCTAGTTATTCTAAGAGTTAATTAATTTTTACCATATATCAAGAGGAAACAGACACATTTCTTTTCTTTCTGTATATCTATATGTGTGTATGCACACTGCGGGCAGCTATTCACTCCCTTTTAATTATTTCCTTTCCAACTTCAAGGCTTAACTTATCTCTGAAAAAAAGGTATCTCAGTAGGAAGAAGGGGGAATTGAATAGCAGTAATGCATACAGATAGTGCCTGATAGATTAAAGGACTTTCACCAGAGTTAACATTATCTCCAGCTGCAAATATTTTACAGCAAAATGTTCCCATCCAACAATAGAATGCCTTTGAGTCTAATGCTGGCATACAGTTCATCAAACCTGCCTACAGCATGTCTGGAGACTGAATTTTATATTTGCTAACACTGTACGCCAACCCTCAATCCCTCATTAAGTTATTCAATGTGGCTTGACAGTCTTCGATCCAAAAACAGCTCTGCCATACTTCTACAGTAATATCTCCCTCTTTATTCTCTGTTTTAAAAAATGAACATATTAGTTCAAAACAACTGAAAAGTATTATAGATGTAAACTACTACTGGGCATCAACAGTTCAGAGTAAGGAATGTGTGCTGATGATGTGTTAAAGCCACGCCACTGCCTGGATATTAACCGTCTTAGAACCAATAATGTCTTTTGTACCTTCTGCTGAATCAGCTATTTAAATTTTATTTGTTTTTATTTGCATGGCCTTGTACAGGTCCTGTGGAATCTGTATAGAAATCAAAACCAACATTCCTAAAATACCTAGTTGTCATCTCTCCTATGTGGAGTTTTTATTTACAGTAGATTCTCAGGGCCCTTCCACACAGCCCTATATCCCAGAATACCAAGACAGAAAATCCTACATTATCTGAGTGTGGACTTAGATAACCCAGTTCAAAGCAGATATTAGTGATGTTTTCTGAATTGATATTCTGGGATATAGGGGCTGTGTGGAAGGGCCCTCAGATCCAATGAGGTATTGAATTAATGCAGAGTACACCCGGGAAACCTGGTTTACTCAACATTTATAGGCTTTCACCGGAGCTGTCATTTGGATTCCTCTGGGAAAAGCAAGACAAATCTAGAATTAAAGGCCTGTCTGGAGGGGGCTTCAGACTGGATTTACACTGTCCTATATCCCAGAATCTCATTCCAGATTATCTGCTTATCCCAGATTATTTGGCAGTGTAGACTCATGTAATCCAGTTCAAAGCAGATAATTTGGGATCAGATCCTGGGATATAGGGCAGTGTAGATCCACCCTCAGTTCACTGGAACTCTCAAGCAACCAAAACTCCTAAGCAACTGGCATAAAGAGAAAATATATAATACTTTATAATAGAAACATGTAATTATAGTACAGTGAAACAACAAAACTGTGTTACATTACGTTTGCTTTACTTGTTTTTTAATTACTGCATTTCAATATTAATATCAAGTCAATACAGTTTGTAGTAGGTTATAGTATGACACACAGGATTTGTTTAGACCTATTTTAATAGTATTCTCAATCAACTAGAAACTATATTTATCTGACATTTACCAAACCTGATGAATGCTGGTTAACTAAGAGTCTACTCTATTTATTTTTCACCTGTATGTCATTAACTAATGTGTCTGAATAAGAAATAAGAGCATGTAGTGTGAAACTGGAAAAAAATATTTTGCTGCCAACAGAACATCAATCCCACTTTAACCTTTTAGGCAAAGAATTGAGCTATTAAAGATAGCTCATCAGAGTGAGGCCAGATTAAAGCTCTATAAAAGGATGGGTTTACTCACAGAAATTATTTCCATGTCTAAAGATGTGTGAAAATGTACTACCATCTCTGATACAGATTTTATCTCTGATTTATGGGTAATTCAAGACAAGGCTTTTATCATCCTTGCTCCTGAATGCTTTTGCAAAGGGGGGGGGGGGAGTGGATCCAGATGGCTTTTTCTTCTGTTTCTAAAACACATCACTTTTAATTTCTCACAATCAATCTGCTAAGGGGTAAAGCAAGATATTGTATTGGTAATTCTAAGAATCATCCATTTGGCTACCTGCAGGCACCAGATCTTTTCTGATCTTGGATACTAAGCACTATACCAGATGCTGTAGTCTGGAAGGAATTGTCAAAACAATTTCTGAATATTTTTTTCACCTAAGCAAACCCTATGAAATCCATGGGGTCACCATAAGGTGACTTGAAGGCACATGTACACACACAAAACCAACAGATGCTTCAAAACCCTTGCTAAGC